CTAACATAAATGTAAATGCTGTAATTTGATTATTTTAATAAACATGTAACTTGGATGGATTCAATGCTGCCGTGACCACAGTGCACACGTCTGCTGTCGCTCACAGTGGTCCAAGGGATGCTCAGGGAGTTTGTGTGTTCGCTCAGACACATGAAAAATTAGAGGGAACATTGGGGAGGAGGGCAGCAAAGGGAGGGACATGGGTGAGGGGTCGGGGGTGGGGGGGGATATATCAGATTATTGATTTGACCACTTCTAAAGTATCCTTAAGTTCTCTGATTGGTTTTCAGCCTACAGACGGCCGTCTGGCAGCTGCATCCAGTTGAGCTTTGTATTCAAATTCATAGTGAAAAGCTATAAAATACAATTCAGCACTGTTAACTTTTGATATTATGTCTGCTGCATTTGTCATGAAATAATAACGGAGCAGGCCTCGCCTGATATTAAACAGTTAAACCTTAAAGGAGACAGTGTGAACCTTTCAGTGTTGTGTCAGCATTTTCTGAAATGTGTCTGACAAAAGCTAAAAGTTGATTAATATGTCAGTCATCTCTTAAACGTTGATGTATTGTTTCTGTGCTGTAGGTTTAAACCTTTGCATTGCTTGCTGACAGTTCTGTTTGTCTTTCACTACATGAAACAAATGTCACATAAATGTATTGTAAGTTTTGGATGTGTTATTTCATATTTTGTCCCCATCATGTTGACATTGACACTGACGAGGACAGCTGAAGGGCGAGACCATAGACTGAATTTCTGGTCCTGACGTCCGCAAACAGAAAACACTCAGCACAGTCACTAAAGACGTTTTTATTTCCACTTTCATCTTCATTAACAGCAACTTAAGAAAGGCGTTGTAACGCTGACCATTAGAACACGGCTGCGCAGCCCCAGCCTGACACCATGTCCCACCCCCACCCTCCTCAGCCGTTCCACTTCACCCAACTCTCATACCAGTGGAAGTACACCAGTCCCATCAGGCTTCAACGAAGCTGATGAACGCAGAGGCCCTGGCCCAGGTCCGAAGGACTGCATTGTCATGGAAGTTACACTTAATAAAGGTGAGCTGGTGTGACTGAACCCAGGAACCAGTTCAGGTGTCACTGGTTGATTTTCTTATTACCACTGAGATGGTGTGTCTCTGTGTGTGTGTCTGTGTGTGTGTGTCTCTGTGTGTGTGTGTGTGTGTGTGTTGTGTGTGTGGTCTCTGTGTCTGTGTGTGTGCGTGTCTGCTGTGTGTCTGTGTGTGTGCGTCTTGTGTGTGTGTCTGTGTGTGTGCGTCTCTGTGTCTGTGTGTGTGCGTGTCTGCGTGTGTCTGTGTGTGTGGTCTTGGTGTGTGTGGTGTGTGTCTGTGTGTGTGTTCTGTGTCTGTGTGTGTGCGTGTCTGCGTGTGTCTGTGTGTGTGTCGTCTCTGGTGTGTGTTCTGTGTGTGTCTGTGTGTGTGGTCTCTGCGTGTGTGTCTGTGTGTGTGGTGTGTGTCTGTGTGTGTGCGTCTCTGCGTGTGTCTGTGTTGTGCTGTGCGTGTCTGTGTGTGTGCGTGTCTGCGTGTGTCTGTGTGTCTGTGTGTCTGTGTGTGTGTCTGTGTGTGTGTGTGTGTGTCTGTGTGTGTGCGTGTCTGTGTGTGTCTGTGTCTGTGTGTCTGTGTGTCTCTGTGTGTGTGTGTGTGTCTGTGTGTGTGTGTGTGTGTGTGTGTTGTGTGTGTGTGTGTGTGTGTGTGTGTGTGTCTGTGTCTCTGTGTGTGTGTGTGTGTCTGTGTGTGTGTGTGTGTGTGTGTGTGTGTATCTGTGTGTATGTGTGTGTGCGTCTCTGTGTGTGTGTGTTGTGTGTGTGTGTTGTGTGTCTGTGTGTGTGGTCTGTGTGTCTGTGTGTGTGTGCGTGTGTGTGTCTGTGTGTGTGCGTCTCTGCGTGTGTGTGTGTGTGTGTGTGTGTGTGTGTGTGTGTGTGTGTGTGTGTGTGTGTGTGTGTGTGTGTGTCTGTGTGTGTGCGTCTCTGCGTGTGTCTGTATGTGTGTCTGTGTGTGTGTCGTGTTTGTCTGTGTGTGTGTCTGTGTGTGTGTCTGTGTGTGTCTGTGTGTGTGTGTGTGTGTGTGTGTGTGTGTGTGTGTGTGTGTGTCTGTGTGTGTCTGTGTGTGTGAGGTGTGTGTCTGTGTGTGTGTTGTCTGTGTGTGTCTGTGTGTGTGTGTGTGTGTCTGTGTGTATCTGTGTGTGTGTGTGTGTGTGTGTGTGTGTGTGTGTGTGTGTGTGTGTGTGTGTGTGTCTGTATGCGTCTGTCTGGTGTTCTGTGTCTGTGTGTGTGTGCGTGTGTGTGTGTGTGTGTCTGTGTCTGTGTGTCTCTGTGTGTCTCTGTGTCTGTCTGTGTCTGTGTGTGTGCGTCTGTCTGTCTGTCTGTGTTTGTTTGTGTGTGTGTGTGTCTGTGTGTGTCTGTGTGTGTCTGTGCTGTGTGTTCTGTGTGTTTCTGTGTCTGTGTGTGTGTGCGTCTTTATCTTCTGTCTGTCTGTGTGTCTTGTTGTATCGTCTCTGTCAAAAGGTCAACGTTTTTTCTAAATATTTTAGTAGCTCGCGGCTATGCTGTGGTGTGTGGTCCGCTTGTGGTGCGTTGGTTTTTTATAGTTTTTGAACACTGGCGAATTACGCACGTGTGTTGTGTCGTCGGGTACCACGCGTTAGTGTTGCAGCCCTCGGTTATGTGTGAGTCGTCGTACAAATAGCATAACTGTGTGTGTGGATACTGTGTGTGTCTCCGTGTGTGTGTGCGTGATCTGTGTGTGTGTCCTCTGTGTGTATTGTTGTGTGTGTGTGTGTACCCTGTGGTCTGTGCTCCCAATGTGTGGTGTGTGCCATATGTCTGTACAGTTAATTTTTGGGTCGCCATTGAAAACATAAAGCTGTAGGTACTCTTTGTTCTTGTTTGGGTTGGCCTTATGGTTCGTGCGCTGATTTTTTTGGTGGTTTGTGGTGCATAAACTTGCTGTGTTCTTCCGTTTCTTCGTGTGTTTTTCTTCTGCTTTCTCGGTTTGTGGGGGTAGGACTTTCTTTTTTGGGCTGTCACTGTTCTTCACGTGTTCTGCCTGTCTTATTTTTGTGTGTGTTTCTGCAGTGCAGAACTAATATATATCTGTCCTGTGAAGGGTTCTCGGAGGTCATGGGATGGGGGGGTTGGTTCCAGGTCATCGTCCGTCAATATAGAATCTTCTTTGCTTCGTCGGTCTGTGTTTACGATATAATTTTATTTTTTAATTCAGGCGCAATCCATAAGCCCTGCAGAGTCGGGATTTCTGTTCGTTCCCGGTCCTATCTCCTCCTGTTCTTCTTTTTTCTCTTCCTCTTCTCTGTGGGTCGGCAGAATCACTCTCTATGTCTAACATGGTTTAATGCAATGCTTGCATAGTTGGCCCGGGAGATATTCCACTTGTTCATGTTTTGCATAGGTAAGTGACAAATTAATAAAGACTGATGTCACGAGGGAATTGGTGC